TAGGTGTCTTAAATTTTTTGCCGCAATGATAAATGAGATTGTTTTTTTAGTTTCTTTTTCTGAATTCATCATTGGTGTATAAGAATGCCATCGATTCCTTGACCTTAACTTTGTATCCTGTTACTTTGCCGAATTCATATATTAAGTCTAGTAAACTTTTGATGTAGTCGTTGGGGTTTTCTACGTGTAGTATCATGTCATCTGCGAATAATGACAGTTTCACTTCCTCCTTTCCAAATTGAATCCCTTTTATATTTTCTTCATGTCTGATTGCTGTGGCTAACACTTCTAGTACTATGTTATGTAAGAATGGTGAAAGTGGGCATTCTTGTCTTGTTCCTGTTCTTAAAGTAAATGCTTTTAGTTTTTGCCATTGAGTATGATGTTGGCTGTAGGTCTTTCATTTATGGCCTTTATTATGTCGAGATATGATCTCTCTATTCCCAGATTGCTGAGCGTTTTTATTAGAAATGGTTGCTGGACTTTGTCAAATGCCTTTACAGCATGTATTTATATGATCATATAATTTTTATCTTTCATTTTGTTTGTGTGGAGTATCACATTTATTGATTTGTGAATATTGTACCAGCCTTGCATCCCTGGGATGAATCCCACTGGGTTATGGTGAATTTTTTTTTTTTTTTTTTGATGTATTGCTGGATTTGATTTGCTAGTGTTTTGTTCAGAAATTTGGCATCTGTGTTCATCAGGGATATTGGTCTGTAGTTTTCTTTGTTTGTAGTATCTTTTCCTGGTTTTGGAATTAGAATTATGCTGGCCTCATAAAACAAGTTCAGAAGTCTTCCTCCTTTAATTTTTTAAAATAGTTTGAGGAGAATGGATATTATTTGTTCTTTGAATGTTCGTTAAAATTCCCCCATGAAGCAGTCTGGGCCCGGGCTTTTGTTTGCTGGGAGAGTCTTGATTACATCTTGAATTTCTTTTGTTGCTATTGGTTTGTTCAAGTTTTCTATCTCTTCCCGGTCCAGTTTTGGGAGACTGTGTTTCTAGAAATTTGTCCATTTTGCTTAGATTGTCGAATTTGTTGCCATATAGTTGTTCATAGTAGTTGTTAACAATCTTTTGTATTTCCATGTTGTTGGTTGTTACTTCTCCTCTTTCCTTTCTGATTTTGTGTATTTGGGTTCTCTCTCTTTGTTTCTTGGTGAGTCTAGCTAAGGGTCCATCAATCTGGTTTATCTTTTCGAAAAACCAGCTCTTTGTTTCATTGATTCTCTGAATTGTTTTTTTGGTCTCTATGTCATTTATTTCTGCTCTGATCTTTACTATTTCCTTCCTTCTACTTGCTCTGGGGTTTTCTTTTTGTTTGCTTTCTAATTCTTTAAGTTGTGAGGTTAGACAGTCAATTAGAAATTTTTCTTGTTTTTTGAGGTAGGCCTGTAGTGCTATGAACTTCCCTCTCAGAACTGCTTTTGCTGCATCCCATAGATTTTGTGTTGTTGTGTGTTCATATTCATTGGCTTCCAGGAAGTTTTCAATTTCTTCCTTAATCTCCATGGTTACCCATTCATTTTTCAATAACATGGTATTTAGCCTCCATGTCTTCAAATGTCTTTGCATGTTCTTGTTTCGATTGATTTCTAGTTTCATTCCATTGGAATCTGAGAAGATGCTTGAAATAATTTCAATCTTCTTGAACTTGTAGAGACTTAGTTTGTGACCTAACATGTGGTCTGTCTTTGAAAATGTCCCTGTGCACTTGAGAAGAATGTGAATTCTGAAGTTTTGTGGTGTAATTCTCTGTAGATATCTATTACATGCATTTAATCGAGTGCTTCATTTAGAGTCTGTGTTTCCTTATTAATATTTTTTGTAGATCTATTCAGTGATGTCAGTGGGGTATTGAAGTTTTCTGCAATTATTGTATTGCAGTTGATTTGTCCTTTGAAGTCCTCCAAAAGATTTTTAATATATGTTTGTGCTCCTATATTGGGTGCATACATATTTATCAAGGTTATATCTTCCTGTTGGATAGATCCTTTCAATATTAAGTAGTGGCCTTCTTTGTCTCTAGTTATGGCCTTTATTTTGAAATCTACTTTATCAGATAAGGTATTGCTAACCCAGCTTTTTTTTGCTTTCTCTTTGCTTGAAATATTTTTTTTCCATCCCATTGCTTTCAACCTATGTGAGTTTTTTCTTGTGAGGTGGGTCTCTTTTAAACAACATATATGTGAGTCATGCTTTCTTATCAAGTCAGCTACTCTGTGTCTTTTTATCAGAGCATTCAAACCATTCATATTTAAGGTGATAATTGATATGTACTTATGTATTGCCACTTTTGTTTAGTATGGTTATATTTTTCTTCTTATTTCTTCTACTAATTACAGCAGTCCTTTTAGCATGGCTTGCAGTGCTGGTTTGGTGTTAATATATTCCCCTAGCCTTTTTTGGTCTGTGGAGCTCTTTATTTGACTTTCTATTTTGAACAATAGTTTTGCTGGATAGAGCAGTCTTTGATTCAGTGCCTTGTATTTCATGACCTTGATTACTTCATATCCCTCCCTTCTGGCCTGTAGTGTATCTGTTGAGAAGTCAGCTGAGGGCCTTATGGGGTTTCCTTGGTAGTTTACCTGTTGCTTATCTCTTGCTGCCTTTAGGATTCTCTTTTTGTTGTTGATTTTTGGCATTTTTATTCCTATGTGTCTTGGTTTGGGCCAGTTTGTGTTCTTCTTACTTGGGGCTCTCTGTGCTTCTTTAACTTGAATGCTTTCTTTCTTCACCAACTTAGGAATGTTTTCTGTCACTATTTCTTCAAATATATTCTCTAACTCTTGCCCATTTCTTCCTCTTCGGGGGCTCCTATGATGTGAATATTATTCTGTTTCCAGTTGTCCCACAGTTCTCTTACGCTGTCTTCCTGATTTTTAATTGTTTTTTCCTTTTGGTTTTTTGATTGGTTGATTTTTTTCTATCCTGTTTTCTACTTCACTGATCCAGTCTTCAGCTTCCTCTAGTCTGCTGGTTAATCCTTCCAATGTGTTCTTAATTTCTGCTATGTCATTCTTCATTTTCACTTGCTTGGTTTTCAATGTTTCTATATCTTTACTCATGGTGCTGATGTCCTTACTCATGCTGTTGAACCTCCTCAAGATGATGGTTCTGAACTCTACCTCTGATAATTTGCTTAGCAGAATTTCATTAATATTACCTTCCATAAAGTTCTCTTGTCCTTTCTTTGGGGATTTGTTTCTTTGTTTCACCATTTTGGCTATTCCAGTGAGTTTTGGAGCCTGCCAGATTTTCCCTGTTGGTGTTGGTGTTCTGCTGTTTGTGGCTCCCTCTACCGTGTTTGGATGAGCCTGGGTGGGTCCACATTAAACACCACTGTCAAATTTTATTTTCCCTGGTAGATTTGTAAGCCATGGAAAAGTTCAGTTAACCTCTAGCTTTTTCCTGGTGGCTAGTAGTCTCAGCTACTCAGTGCCTTGAAGTGTAGCCCTGGTGTTCTGCATAAGAGGATTTCCAGAGGGTGGGATAGATGCTGGTTGTTAATGAGCCTCAATTTACATTCCTTTGTGTCACTGGTGAAAAGCTGAATATCTGGGGGGGGGGGACTGCTGCTTTTCCCCACAGCTCTGGAAGGAGGACACTGGGCACTGTCCTTTGTGGCTGCAACTCAACAAAAACTCTGAGTGCCCTCCAAATCCTGAATTTCCTCACAGTGTTCCAGCCCAATCTGCCCTTCCTCTGCAGTAGCCCCCAGGTGAGTGGTTGTAGCTATTTTAGCACTCTGTCTAGGCTCTCTGCACTTTAGAGCAGGCTTGGCCTTTATTCCCCAAGGGCGCTGCTCACAGCTAAGACTGCTGCTCTCCCTGGGCTACCAGCCCACCACCTTCTTGAGTCTCATCAGATCCTACCAGTGTCCCTGGTTATATTGTTCTGTCCTTCTGCTTTTCTGTTGCTTTTTCCTGATGATTTGTCTTTATTTTAGTTGTAATTCCCATTTGGTCCAGGGAGATCTTCTGTGTAGTTTCTATTCACTCCAGCTCCATTTTCACATCCTCTAAGCCTATCTTGTGTGCAACTGGGTTGCACAGGCCTCTCTGGTGTCCCTGCATCCTGCAGGTCCCGTACATAACTGGATTGCACAGTCCCTTTGGGGACCTGGCTCTATGCCTATGTTATGTGCTGCTGGGTTGCACAGGGCTCTCTGGTGCTTCAGCACCCCACAGGTACATGGGAAACTGGATGGCACAGTCCTTGCTGGGTCACACAGGCCTATCTGGTGCTTCAGCACCCAGAATATCCGACAGGTAGGTAGATCACACTGTCCCTGCTGGGTCGCACAGGTCTCTCTCGTGCCTTGCACCCTCCAGTTTCCAATGGAGGGCTGCTGGATCACAAGGGTCTCTCTCAGGCTCCGGCTTCCTACTGCTCGTGAGTGGCTGGACTGCACAGGCCTCTGTGGAGCCGAGGTCCTGCCACTGGTGGCTGGGGTGTGCTGCTGCCCCATGGGGCTCAACTCCTGCTCAGCTGTTGCTGTAGTTTTGGGGGATGGGTCTCAGCTGCTGGTCTGTGCTTCTGTTGCCTGGGGATGGATCTATAGAATTTTCTTGTGAATATTATACAGTACATAGATATAATTCAATTGGAAATTATGGCATAAAAGATGGTAGGTGACAGAGACATCGAAAGGAATATAGTTAAGGCTGACATACCTCAGAGTAGGGTGCTGGGGGATGGATGAGATGAACCAAAGAACTTATATGCATGTATGCATAACCAATGGGCATAGAGTACAATGCTAGGGTGGTGGTGGAGCAGGATGGGGAGGAAGGTGTGTAGGGGGAAAAAGGAGAAGCATCTGTAACAAAAGTAAATAAAAATTGGGGGGGGGGGGATGGTGGGTGATGAATGTGCTTATATGATACATAAGAGCTGCGGCAAGGACCAGCATCATTTTAGTACTTATTGAAACTGTGACCTCATCTGTATCTATAGGTAAGTAAGAACTACAAAATTAAGTTAACACTTACCTTTTGGCAATCTCCCTGCATGCAAAGGCCTGACATCAGTGATTCCATGAGGAAATATGTTATATGGTCGACTTGCTTGATTCTTAAATATAATCTGAAAGTATAAATGAGCTATAAGGTCAAGTCCTAAAACAACTATGATCAAGATGAAAAGTGTGGCCAATCTCCAGAAAACAAAAGCTTGTTTGCATTCACATTATAGGGGTTTAGGTCTAGATAAAACTCAAATTATTTATTCTTTTCATAAAATTGCTCAGACAGCTATTTAGGTTTCTCACTAAAGGTCCCTTTCCATTTTTTTTTTTTTAAAGTAGTTCAATTGCTTCAGGAAGTATTCCTTGCACCTTTACACACTAATTGAAATTTGAATGTCTGCTGAGGACACTGCTTCCCCTTAGCCTTTTCCATCATTTGGGCACTGAATTCTCCAATAGTAGAGAGGGAAACTCGGATTCAGTTCATAAAATACTCACTGAATGAGCAAGCATGACCAGGAAGACAATTGATCACAGCACTAAGCAAGGGTGGCAGCCAGCATCATCTGATTGCATGTAGTTTAAAAGAGTGGAAGGATGGAAAAGCAATACCATATATGCAGCAGTTGAGAACCCTGAAGACATCAACCCAGTGGCTAGATCTGAGGATAAAAGAACCAACTTCCACTTGCATTCTTTTTTTGTTTGTTTGTTTTTAACTTTTTATTTGAAAATAAATTCAAATTTACAGAGACATTGTAAGAATAAGAATAGAACACTTGTATGGATTCAATTATTGTTAGCATATTATTCCATTTGCTTTATCAGTCTCTGTCTCTCTTTGTATTTATATACATATTTTCTGAACTATTTGAAAGAAAGTTACATGTCATGAACTTTTATGCCTACATATTTCCAAAGAATAAAGATATTATATTACATAACTATAGTATAGTTGTCAAATTCAGCAAATTTAACAGTGATATAATACTCTTATCTAATCCACTGTCTGTATTACAGGGTTTTTTTTTTACATTTTTACATTTTATTTTTTTATTATTATTTTTTATTTTATTTTTGTTACAGATGTTTCTCCTTTTTTACCCCATTGGCACCCTCCCCCCCCACTTGCATTCTTGTATTAAAACCCACTCATTTGGTAAAACCCACTAAACAGCCTATTCCTTACCTGTACCTAAGCAGCAGAATAATGCAGGACAGACATCACACAGTTCTGCAACTAGCTTCTTTAAATTCATAACCATAAATCCCAAATAGGCACTCAAGCTACCTAACCATCCTATTGAGAAATTCACCTTCTCACCTATTTAGTTGACTATCTGCTTCCCAATCTTCACTCTCAGGTGTTACTTTTTTCACTGAGAAAGGAGAAGCAATTTGAATAGAACTTCCTCACCTTCCCACCATCAAATATATCCACCTATATGTATATATGGCCATATTCTTCCCTGTTAAAATCAGCTCCTATCTAATGCCAACATCTCTTCTTTTGTACTAGTACACAATAAGGCTATAGAATCTTCCATTGAAAAAAATTTCCTTTTGGAACAGAATACAGATCCCATAAATAGACCTGCACATATGCAGTCAATTTACACTTGACAAAGAAACAAAGATAATATAAAGGAGTAATAACTATGCATGGTGCCAGTTGGGTGGTGGAAATATCAGGGGGAACACTTTGTAAAGTATATGATTATCTAACTACTATGCTGTACCTGAAACTAATACAAAATAGTATTGAATTTAAACTAATTGAGAACAAATTTTAAAAAGAAAAAAGACAATTCAAAGAAGAAAAGGGTATGAGGAAGGTTGAGTCAAAAAGGTGAAGAGGGGATTCCAAAATGGTGGCAGAGTGAACGGAAGCTACACAGAACGTCTCCAGAACCAAACTGGAATTACAACTATAACACAGACAAATTGGCGGGAAAAAAACACAGAAAAGTAGCTTGTGAGGACCAGGGACACTGACTCGATACTGGTAGGCTTTCGAAGGCATGAGACGGGGGCTGGGAGCCCACGGTCCGCAGCTCGGCAGCCTTAGCTGTGAGCGGTGCCCTCAGGATACACTCCCAAGTGGCTCCAAAGTGCAGAGCTGGGAAAGAGGCTAAAATAGCCACAGCCACTAACTTGGGCTCCGGCAGAGGACAGACTGGTCTGGAACTGTGTCGGGACACTCGGGATTTGGAGGGCACTCAGAGCTTTAGCTGAGTGGCAGCCACATAGTACGGTGGGCATATTGCTCCAGGGCTCTGGAGAGAGGCAGCAGCCCCTCCCTCGGAGATCCAACCCCATCCTGTGGACTATTGAAGTGCTAATTGAAGCTCATTAACAACAAGCATCTGTCCCACCCTCATAAATCACCTTATGCTGAGCACCTGAGGGGGTTTTTCAATCAACTGACAATCCAAAACTCATCAAGTAACCTCGACAGCTAGCCTCCAGGCAAAAAGCTACAGGATAACAGTACCTTTCCTGGGCTAGCAACTTTAACCAGGAAAGTAACACTTGACAGTGGTGTTTAACGTGGGCCCTCCCTCGCTCATCTAAACCCAGGAGAGGGAGCCACAAACAGCAGAACACCAACACCCACAGGGAAAATTTGACAGGTTCAAAAGGCCACTGTGATAGCCAAAATGGTGAAACAGAAACAGAAGTCAAATGAAAGAGCAAGAGACCTCCACCGAGGATGAATCAATGTGGAGCAGTTAGGCATGTTAACAGAGCTAGAATTCAGAGCCATGATCTTCAGAAAGCTGAACAGCATGAGTAAGGACATAGAGACCTGAAAATAAGCCAATTGGAAATTAAAAACCATTAAGAAGAGATAAAAAAATGACGTATCACAAAGGAAAAACACATTGGAAGGTTTAAAAAGGAGAGTAGAGGAAGCTGAGGACCGGATCAGTGAATTAGAAGACAGGGTAGAAAAAATCAACCAATCAGAAAACCAAAAGGAAAAAACAATTAAAAAAACAGGAAGACATATTAAGAGAACTGCAGGACAACTGAAAATGTAATAACATTCACATCATAGGAGTCCCCGAAGAAGAAGAAAATGAGCAAGGGATAGAGAATATATTTAAAAAAAAAAAATAGTGACAGAAAACTTCCCTAATTTGGTGAAGGAAGAAGGCATTCAAGTTTAAGAAGCACAGAGAGTCCCAAGTAAGAAGAACCCAAACAGGCCCACATCAAGACACATAGTAATTAAAATGCCACAAATTAAAGACAAAGAGAATCCTAAAAGCAGCAAGAGATCAGCAACAAGTTGCCGGACCTATCCATAAGGCTCTCAGCTGACTTCTCACAAGAATCACTATAGGCCAGAGGGGAATGGCAGAAAGTAATCAAGGTCATGAAAAATAAGGATCTGAATCCAAGACTACTCTACCCAGCAAGGCTATCATTCAAAATAGAAGGTAAAATAAAGAGCTTCCCAGACAAAAAAAATGCTAAGGGAATACATTAGCACCAAACCAGCACTGCAAGAAATGTTAAAAGGACTGCTGTAATTAGCAATAGAAATGGGAAGAAAAATAGAACCACACTAAGCAAAAATAGCAATAAATAAGTACATATCAATAATCACCTTAAATGTAAATGGAATGAATGCTCCCATAAAAAGACAGAGAGGAGCTGATTGGATAAAAAAGCATGACTCATCTATATGTTGTTCACAAGAGACCCACCTCACAACAAAAGACTCACGCAGTTTGAAAGTGAAGGGATGGAAAAAATTATCCAAGCACAAAAGCTGGGGTAGCAATACTAATATCTGATAAAATAGATGTCAAAATGAAGGCCATTACTAGAGACAAAGAAGGCCACTACATAATATTGAAAAGATCTATCCAACAGGAAGATATAACCTTGATTAACATATATGCACCCAATATAGGAGCACCAAAATATATTTAAAATCTTCTGGATAACTTCCAAGGAGAAATCGACAGCAATACAATCATAGCAGGGACTTCAACACCCCGTTGACAGCACTGGATAGATCCTCTAGCCAAAAAATTAGCAAGGAAACAGAGACTCTAAGTGAAGCACAAGACCAAATGGATTTAATATATATCTACAAAGAATTACACCCCAAAACTACAGAAATCACATTCTTCTCAAGTGCACAGGGACATTCTCAAAGATAGACCACATGATAGGACAAAAACTAAATCTCTACAAGTTCAAGAAGATTGAAATCACATAAAGCATCTTCTCAGATCACAATGGCATGAAACTAGAAATCAATTGCAACAGGAACATGCAAGGACATTTCAACACATGGAGGCTAAATAGCATGTTGTTAAACAATGAATGGGTTACAGAGGAGATCAAGGAAGGAATTAAAAACTTCCTGGAAAGCAATGAAAACGAATACACAACAACACAAAATCTATGTATGCAGGAAAAGCAGTTCTGAGAGGGAAGTTCATAGCACTACAGGCCTACCTCAAGAAACAAGAAAAATTTCTAATTGACTGTCTAACCTCACAACTTAAAGAATTAGAAAGCAAACAAAAAGAAACCCCAGAGCAAGAAGAAGAAAGGAAGTAGTAAATATCAGAGCAGAAATATACGACATAGAGACCAAGAAAAACAGTTCAAAGGATCAATGAAACAAAGAGCTGATTTTTCAAAAAGATAAACAAGATTGATGGACCCCTAGGTAGACTCACCAAGAAATAAAGAGAGAGAACCCAAATACACAAAATCAGAAATGAAAGAGGAGAATTAACAACCGACCTCACAGAAATACAAAAGATCGTTAACAGGTATTATGAACAACTATATGGCAACAAATTTGACAATCTAAGCAAAATGGAAAAATTTCTAGAAACACATAGTCCCCCAAAACCGGACCGGGAAGAAATAGAAAACTTGAACAGACCAATAACAACTAAGGAAATTGAAGAGGTAATCAAGACTCTCCCAGCAAACAAAAGCCCAGGCCCAGATGGCTTCATAGGGAAGTTTTACCGAACATGCAAAAAAGAACTAACACCCATTCTCCACAAACTATTTCAAAAAATTCAAGAAGAAGGAAAACTTCCAAACACGTTCTATGGGGCCAGCATAATTCTAATTCCAA